TAGAAATGATTAGTTCAATTCAAATCGAAGAATTGTCAAAGAAGATAAACACATCACAAAAAATTCATATCTGTCAAAACTTATGCTACTGAAGTAAATAGTACTTGCACATATTATTCACAGAACCATTGAAAGACCACTAAAATAAAAAAAAAAAAAAAAAAAAAAAAAAAAAAAAAAAAAACCACAAAAAATTAATACAGAAATAGTTAATGGGCCCCACGTTTTTATTTTAGTCTGATATGCCTAAAAGCTATTCTGCCTAGTACTAAAATATTTCTGATTTAGAAAGTCAAAATACCTACTTGTTATAGTGTGGGCTGCTTAGTTTACCTACACAAGAAACCCTGGTGTTAGTGTTCTCTCATGAACTGCTTTCGGCCGCTGACATGGTTCAAAGAATGACAACCACTACCATCAGAGATATTAATGATCGAGATCAAAACGTAGGTTGATAGGTAAATAACTATTTATTTATTTTGTAGTTTTCAGTGCACATAAAATAAAACCGTTTAACTTAAAAAAAAAAAAAAAAAAAAAAAAAAAAGTTTTTTTTACCGATTTTTATTTTCTTGTTTTTAGTATTTAGTGAAATTGTTTACCGAATATTCCTCATTCTATTTAATTCATTCAGTGCATCATTATTACATGGTTTCTTACCTGATAATTTAGTACAATTTAATTCCTCAATACACAGCCCTGCCAGAGACTTGACTCGACTTAGAGCCACGTATGCTTGTCCATCCTCAAACCATTTTGAGCCCAAATATACTACTGCGTGGTCGACGGTGCTGCCCTGCATTTTATGGACGATCAATTAACAACTAAGGGCAACATCCTTTTTCATCGTACCATAATTTAATTTTGCTGGAAACTGTATGGCTTTAGGGTAAATAACGTGCATGCCGTCTGTGCCAAAGTCAATTAAAACTGATGATATATCTGTTTCGTACATTCGGGTTCGACGGAACTGAGGCCAAACAATTTCTGTAATGTGGCCTATAGTGTCATTTACCAATCCTTTTGTAACGTCAATGTTGGACCGCAACATTACTTTTGCACCTACAAATATTTCAAGTACTGATGGTAAGCCTCCAGTCTTATTTATATTTGTTGGTATCTTTTGTTTATTGTTACCATGTTGTTCCCACGATTAAGGGGCATTTTGACCCCCCCCCCCCCTCTCGCAGTCCAGTAAAGGGGCAAGGCTTAATATACAACAAGATGCGCCCAATCTTGAGGGGGAAGCGCTTACGACATTACAATTTTATCCACAATAATGCCATACAGTCCTCGGCACGTTTTAACCTATTACCTTAACTTGGGTGATATAACTACCGCTTACTAACGAGGTATCTAATTACCTATTTTTTTTTTTTTTTTTTTTTTTTTTTTTTTATCTGCCCCTCTAACGTCACACAATCTTAGACGCAACTGTTCTCGTTACGACTAATCATGCCCCCACCTAATACGCCATTTTGTAACAGCGTCCATCTTGAATTTGAAATTTTGACATAATGACAGTATTCTGCAGTGTAGTCCTATTATTTCATACCCATATTGTGGTGGTTGTGGAAAAATATGTACCTAGTCCGCCATATTGGAACGGCGTCCATCTTGAATTTTAAATTTTGACATAATCATCGTGTTTTACTAGTGTAGCCCTTTCATTTGATACCCATATTGCGGGGGTTAAGGAAAAATATGTAATCCGCCATTTTGTATCGGCGGCCATCTTAGATTTATAATGTTATTGATTTTATTATATTGTATTGTCATCTAAATTAAATGTGTGTACCAAATTTCAGATCAATCTGACAACGGGAAGGTGCTTAAATTCCAATTTCTAATTTTGACCCAAATAAATAAATACCGTACGGGTCGAGCTAAATAAAACCGTTTAAATATGTAATCCGCCATTTTGTATCGGCGGCCATCTTAGATTTATAATGTTATTGATTTTATTATATTGTATTGTCATCTAAATTAAATGTGTGTACCAAATTTCAGATCAATCTAACAACGGGAAGGTGCTTAAATTCCAATTTCTAATTTTGACCCAAATAAATAAATACCGTACAGGTCGAGCTAAATAAAACCGTTTAATTAAAAAAAAAAAAAAAAAAGATATAGATCTTCAAAGAATCGTATAGCGTGAATCTCTCAATGATTTCCTATTCATGAGTACAGATTACTTACCGTAACCTATGGTATGCCTTTTGCTCCTTTTTAGCCATCCTAAGTACATTGCAGCAACTGACTTCGTATAAAAAAAAAAAAAAAAAAAAAAAAAAAAAAAAAAAAAAAAAAAAAAAAAATAAATAAAAAAAAAAAAAAAAAAAAACCAAAATTAAATAATAATAAAACTTATGACAATTTACCTGAAATTTAGTCGAATCCCGTAGTTGTAGTTAAACTTGTAACAAAAATAGAAGATTATTATTAGTCTGCAAGGAAAATGATCTCCAAAGATACGAAAAATTGAGAAACTTCGATAGCATTTCTGGAACAAGTGGCAAAACGAGTATATATCGGAACTTCCACAAAGAATAAAATGGAATACTGAAACATTAGACTGGCAACTCAATCATTATTCAAGAAGACTCCCTCCTATGACTCCTCCTCCTGACCTCCGTTATGTTGGAGACTTTGACGAGTTTCTCGTCTATTTCCTAAACCTGACGGCATCTCACGTGTAGTTGAGGTCAACACTACAGGAGGATGTATGCGACGTTCTATGGTTTGCCTTTGCCCTCTTCCACTAGTTGAAGAAATTGACTATTGAAAGTGACCTTTCAAAGTGGCGAGATGTTCCGGCACGTCTTTAAGATACTAAATTGCGTCGAGTTGCTGTGCGGAATTCAGTAGGCGCCTTGGATTTATTTTCTATCTATGTACTGCATTTTTTTTTTTTTTATTTACCTTCTTTATAATCAGTCGTACATGTTAACAAGTGCTTAAGAAAAATTGTAAAATATATTATTAAAATCCACTATTTCATGTATTTTCGGATTTTATTTTAAATTCCAGTGTGAAAGCGAAGACAGATAGGGCATTTAGATGAAATGCTGACATGATTATCATTGCAATGGAAACACTTGGCAATTTCTGCTGATATGTCACATTATTTAAAATTGTGATTTCCTTCGCGTATAGAGCATTTTGTAGCATTTTTGCAGAATTTAGCTAAATGATCATACCTCATACATCTAAAACATCGTTTATCTAGAGCAGTTTTTTTTTTTTTTTTTTTTTTTATTTTAATTTTATTTTTATGCAACTTAAAATGAAAAACAAGCTTACGGACCACCTAATGGAAAATGGTAACCATCATCTATAGACATGAGCAGTACCATGGACAAAACCGAGTACTTTGAACTGATATTCTTTAAGAAATGATAAATTATTTAAGAAAGCATTTGCTAGCCCTGGTTTCGAAATATACTCCTATTCACGTATGTATTATGTCTATTGCTCCTAGAGAGGGAGAAACATAAAAAAAAAAAAAAAAAAAAAAAAAGCCTTTTGACTAGTCCGTAAAAGTCAAATTCATCAAGATTATATCACTTAATTTTATTGACCGTATAACCCTACCAAATTCAGATAGAACCTGCTTGCATACTTTCTACACAAACTGTGTTGAATATATAATCTAGTAATATAAAATTTGTTATTGGCAAATAATTAACATATCAATATGAACAAAAAATTTTACATACATATTTTCCTAAGAACAAGGAATTACATAGAAGGGATGATAAAAAAAAAAAAAAAAAAAAAAAAAAAAAAAAAAAAAAAAAAACTGTAAATTTTATGATTGCCTCCTTTCTTCTTGTGCAAATATAATTAGTAAAAAGAGAACAAAACCATCAGTTGCTATTTTTCTCAATTCATAGCAGGCTAGTGTATAGAAAATGTTTGATATGTCAATTATTTGTCAATAACAAATTTTACATTACTAGAATATATATTTGACACAGTTTTTATTTTAAATTCCTTCTAGCAGGTTGTATCTTAATTTGGTAGGGTTATACGGTCATCGGTAGAATGTCTGGTAAAATATCACAATTTGTTTACCATAAAAAAAAAAAAAAAAAAAAAAAAAAAAAAAAAGCCGCGAAGAGTGACATGCCCCCGTTGCCCCGACATTGGCGCGAGAAAGGAATACCGGGGGGTTTTAGGCGGTAGGAGTCCGGCAGTACCCAAATACCTCCCCCGAAGTATGTGGGTCTGCATGAAGCATTTCCCATCGACAAAAAAAAAAAGTTATACGGCCGTATAATATTTTCTATACACTAGCCTGCTATGAATTAAGAAAAATAGCAACTGATGGTGTATGTTATGTTTTTTTTTTACTCATTATATTTGTATAAGAAGAAAGGAGGCAACAATATTATTTACAGTTTTTATTTTATCATTCCTTCTATGTAATTCCTTGTTCTTAAGTTTGTCAATCAAAGATACTTAGAATGCGTAAAATATCACAATTTGTTTACCATAAAAAAAAAAAAAAAAAAAAAAAAATTGAAGAGTGAAGTTCGATTTGGTGCTTATTCACTCCATTTTACGGTACTGCACAATAATTTAGTGATTGATTGCTAAATGTAACTAAAAACAATAGTATTATTACGCGATAGGATTAATTCCTAATCGCTAAAGGGTCAAATAAATATATTTTTTAATAAATAGCCTCGTTAGCGATGCAGTAGCAAGTAGATAAATTTAATTAATAATAGTAATTTTAGTTCCAAACTCATTTTACAGGGGCAGCACTGACGGCCGCTTGCTAATTGCTATATATTAATATATGAAAATATACTTGTTTGTACTACGGTGTTCATTCCCTTATACAGTAGGTGGGTTGATTTAATTAAAGAATAAAAATAGTAAGTAGAACAAAAGTCATAAATTATGGTTAGTATAGAAAGAAAAGCCAAAACAAATGACACAGTATGAAGGCAGCGGTTACATAATGTGTTGTTGTGATGTCAAATGTCAGTTGATTGTCAAAATTTCATCGACTAGTACGATGTCATTATCACGTTGCGGTGTATCGTGGTCGCGGTTATATGCTACAGCCAAACGGTTGTCTACTGTAGCTGGTTTTAGTGCAAACGGTCCAAATCATAGTTTAAGTGTTAGGTGTCGCAGGTACGCGGCGTCTACAGCAACGTCCCACCAGAGTAGCACTCGTGTCAATATGTACGTCGCCGAGGAACGAGGAGCACCCTTCACGCCCGAATACCGGGTCTACTTCAGTAAGTTCAATGTCGTGTTGGCGATGTAAGGTAACATATGTTCTGAAAACGAACCTTTCATTATCTTTGTTCCGTCCTCGTATGTAGAATCTGAGTTCCCTTCATTTATATACCTACGTCATTATGTCAAAGGTCAAACCGTCAGTGTTAGTAACATACGAGTAATATATTCTGAACGTCAGTAGTATCATTGTTTGTTTTCAAAAGCAAAAGTTAGCGAGATGTACCATCTAATGGAATATATATATAATGTAATAAAACTTAAGTTATGCAGCGGTCGGGTAATACTCTAAGCGTTTATTTTGTTCAAATAAGATTTGCATTGAATAGTTTCCAAAATTTTATTTTAAGGTTACCTACTGCTCCAGTTTCTTCAATGAGATGTTATTACAAAGTATGTAGTTAGTTTGTATAACTGACTGTTCCTAGATGAGCCATAGTTTCTGATGATGAAATATGTTCATGTTTATTATATTCATGACAATGGTAGTAATCAGAAGATAGATCTTACTAGCTTCATCACGGATATTATTATTTACTACAAACTTTGTCAATATGTGAAATCTTTATTATTGATATTAACATAAGTTACATTACTGTTTTTCATTTTCCAAGAGACTACAGCATTGGATTCTTCAAAAGTGGGGTAAATAGGTTTCTTCATTGTTGACAATGTGCATGCAGTACCCGTGGTATTACACTTGTTCATAGGCTACAGTAATTGCTTACTATCAGGTGGAACATTTGTTTGCCATCTCCGTGGTATATAAGAAGAAGAAGTGTATATGACTATATATTTTTTCTAGCAAGGTTATAATGTTCTGAACTAACTGACCATTATGCTTTTGTTCATTATCTTCTATGATGAACTACATAGTTTATCTTTTACCTTTTTCACCAAATGGTTGTTCAACAAATATAAAAAAATAATTCTTTGGCAGTGGATGCAATAATTATTTGGCTTTAATGGCAGTGGGATAGCACGTTCTGCGGAATAATAGTTTATGGATGCAGATAATATGGTTCAAAACCATATGTTATGTTATATATATGTAATGTCCATACCATCTCATGTATAAAGCAAGTAAAATGATAAAATAAATATTTTATTTGCAATATTTGGATACTTTGATATTGTGGTCTCAAATGAACTAAACAAAAAAAAAAAAAAATTATTTAATTGAAAACTGTGATAAATTATACCTAATTACATTTTTAATTTATCTATTTATTTTTATGTGCATTAATTTATATATATCCTCATTTGTTATCAACATCTATATTTAATACCAGATAAGTAAAGGAATTAATTTCAATGTTATGTAAACTCATTATTGACACTGCTGATAAATACTGATAATAAATACCTACCTCGATTTCCCCGGCTCATAAATAGATTTCCTCCACAGTAAAGGTGGAGTATACATTGTTTACGATGGTTTAGGCTTAGGTTTGACTCACAGAGAGTTGTGGATCCCAATTGTTGAGATGTTTTAGAACCCTGTAAGTTAACAGAAAGTGGTATTCATTGCCTGTAGACATAGACAGTATCATGGGTATTATTAAATATACTGTGATATCCATGGTAGCCATTATGCGCTGCCATTCTTACCATTTTTTAGTCCTGAGGACTACAGTGTTTTGCTTTTGTATCATGAGATTTCCCTGTATGGCTGTTTTGTGGTAGAAATAGAATTAGAGGTATGCACTAGTTGCTTAATTTAAAGAAAATGGTGGGTTAAAAAAAAAAAAAAAAAAAACTATACTTTTAATAATTCATAATAGGATTTTTGCTTTGTATAATCTGCCAATGTAAATATACAAGTTATTAATATGATGGGCTCAGTGTAAGAAGTTTATTAAACTCAGTGAGCTATGCAAACTAAATCCTAATTTAAAATTCATGAAAGTAGGACTTTATAACCTCCCTGATTTTGACTGCCCCTTTAAAGTATATTACTACATAGTTTAGAGGGGCAGTCAGGCACTATTATACTATATAGATACCTAATTTATTAGTCTTTTATTGCAGCTTTTAAATAAAAATTTGTAAGATTTACTATATCCTAATTTTTGAAAGAGTAAGGAAAAAAAAGTGTTTTATACCTAAGTGTTTACTTCCTACTTTTCTCTCTATCTAGGTAGTTACAATATTAGATGATGATAGAAACTATTGGATCAAGAATTGGCTTAAAATTACATCAACATCAGTCCGTTATCAAATTCTGACACATGAAAAGTATTACATTCATTTTTATACATTTGTCCATGACAAACAAATCCTTTCCATTTTTTTTATTTTATTTATAATTTATATGCCTAGGTAAACACTTATTTATTTTTATTGACTAATTATACAATAATAATCTAAATTTATAATAAATAATCAAAAAATGTTAATTTATGAATTTAAAATGAATCTAAAAATAATATAATTTTAAACTAATTATAGCTTCAACTTAATTATAACTTAAATTAAGAAAAATTCTAAATATTTATATACATATCTTTGGTAAGTCATACAGATTTACCAATTTGTAAAAAAAAAAAAACAATAGAATATTAACAGTATAAATAATACACTAATAGAAAATGTAAATACAACACATTATATAATAAATAAACCCAAACATTGCACTTCTGCATACTGTTGTATGGTAGAGCAAATATTCTGTGATTCTGGTCATGCTCATTAAGTTCTGGAATAGACATGCTTATAAGGTCCAAGACAAATACGAGTATGTTTGCCAGTAGTTGCTTTTTAGCAGACGGGTTGCCAACAGCAGTTAAGACTAGCGATATTTAAGAGGGACGCCGCTGACCGTCCCTCAACAATTAAATTCCCTTAGTTGATTCCTGTGATACCCACGGGAAAGAAAGGGCTAGCTCATTCTATGCTACATGGACCACTCGGCAATAAATAATAAATTATACATTAATCTTTACAATCTACATATAGATTATAACATAACAGGTATTAATGTGTATTTAGTAGAAGTCCGGCGGCCGAATATAAGGTCTGTATATTACGTAACAGAGGACGAGAGCGGTCCGATCTCGCCGCTGCACGACATCCCGCTGTGGGCGGACCGCGCGCAGCGGCTCGTCAACATGGTGGTGGAGGTGCCGCGCTGGACCAACGCCAAGATGGAGATCAGCCTCAGCGAGCCGCTCAACCCGATCAAGCAGGACGTGAAGAAGGGCGCGCTGCGCTTCGTGCACAACGTGTTCCCGCACCACGGCTACATCTGGAACTACGGCGCGCTGCCGCAAACGTGGGAGAACCCGCAGCACGTGGACCCGGCCACGCAGGCGCGCGGGGACAACGACCCTATCGACGTGATCGAGATCGGCGAGCGCGTGGCGCAGCGCGGCGACGTGTACCCAGTCAAGGTGGTCGGCACGCTGGCGCTCATCGACGAGGGCGAGACCGACTGGAAGCTCATCGCCGTAGACGCACGCGACCCCAGCGCCGCGCAGCTCAACGACGTGGCCGACGTGGAGCGCCTGTTCCCCGGCCTGCTGCGGGCCACCGTCGAGTGGTTCCGCCTCTACAAGGTGCCCGACGGCAAGCCCGTCAACAAGTTCGCCTTCGACGGCGAGGCAAAGGACAAGGAGTTTGCCTACAAGATCATCGACGAGGTCGGTACCCTTTCCCTTCACGTTGCCTCTCGATAATACCTCTTTTCCTAATGTCTAGCCGTTCTTCGAGTTGTGGCGTGCAGGCGATTGTAGGTGAGCCGGTTTCGAAAGTGATTGTGTCGGCGTCGCGTCGCGTCGGTTGAGATCGACCGGCTTCGCCGCTATGTGACCCACTCGTGCTCAGTCGTGGCGCTTGTAGCAAAGAAAGATTTTAACATTCTGAAACACGAGTATTTAGTACTAGAGGGTTGATTGAAAAGTAATCATAGTTGTTACTTAACTGACACTCTAATTTTTAATCGCTTTAAAAAAAAATATGTTTGTTACCTTGTTACTCGATCTGTAATAAATCGAAGGGTTACAGATTGATTTCGAAGAAATTTTATCAAAATCGTATCAGTAGCTTAGTTTAGAATAGCCAGCAAGCTGACGGCCCACCTGATGGAACGTGGTAACGGTATAATTAACTGATATGCCAACAATTGAAGTTGATTTTTTTTGTGGGACACAATCTTAATTTACATTCTCTCGTAGTAAAAATTCGATACCATGAGTAGGTGCGTACCAAATTTTTACTACTCTCTATTTACTAGTCTCTCGACTCCAATATCAGTTTAATATTATAGTATACAGAGGCAGCTGTTTGTTCACATCATATTAGTAACGATTTATTTATTTACTAGCTGTCCTCGCAACTTCGTCCGCGTGGTAACTAGATATCATTACTGCAGCAGATAAGCATCGATAAAACTAGTATCTGTAACACTTACAAAGAGAGGATTCGTACTTCACCTGCATTTTTTGTGCATACGCATAAAATATATAGGCGAAATGAGACCTCTCAACTTTGTTGCTTGTTATTTCTTTTATGTTTTTGTTATATATTTTTTTAATTTTCCGATCTATAGGGTTCACTTCCGTGTTGATCACATATTAATTTTGTGACTGTCATGTTCATATCAGCTGTTAACAGTCCACTGTTGGGTTTTGCCACACTTGGCAGGCGGGTTGGCAACTGCAGTTAGGCTTTGATGATCTTTTAAGAGAGCCGCTGCTACCAATCCTTTGCCCTCCCTTAGTCGCCTCTTACGGCATCTACGAGAAAGGAAGTGGTGGCCCATTTGTGATAATGTAAATTATTATATTTATGATAAGCAAATAAAAATACCAGTTTCTATAACTGTCGTATTTATTTGCGGAGCCAAAAACTTCTTATTAGAACCTAAATTAAATATATATTTTAAATTGAATGTGCCTATGAAATGAAACATGTCGCTGTCCAACAATGGTTTCAATTCGTTTTATAATCTGGATAGTGATATTCTATTTCAAGTCCATCATACTGGAAGTACAAAGATGTTTTATGGTGCGACTGTAGCCGTTCGTCCATTTGTTACATTGCTATATCTCGTCGGCTAATATGATCCGAGCGTAGTGGCATATGAAAGAATTTTATTCGTACATTTTAAAACAATTTTTTATGCAACTTCTTTTACTAACCAACTTGTAGTAAAAATAATAATAACATATCCTTCTTCATCTTCGATGTTTGCTAAGTGAAAAATCTAAAACATTTTATAAACGTATATACTAGTGGTATCCCGTGGCTTCGTCCACCTGAATCAGTACATAAAGTTACCTACGTGTTAAACTAGAATATAAACTGTTTATCAAATTTCATTCACATCCGTTCAGTAGTTGTAGTGTGAAAGCGTAACAAACATGTATCTACAAACTTTTGCATTTATAATATTAATAGGTATATAGGAAAGAAACAATGTCATCTCTAATTTACATCATTTTGAAAAGATAAAAAATCTGTAGTTCTGTGTTTCGGTTTTAACAATTTATGATTCACAAAATAAGGAATTCCTGATTGAAATAACAATTATAATTCTTTCTAAGTATCCATTATATTTTATTATAAGGAACTTGTACGGGCTGTTTTGTGTTATATTTTTATTTTTAAATATTTTTTATCTAAAGAAAATAAAGTCGCATTTACAGTTTATGTATGGAATCTTCAATATGCGAGTTCAACTCGTGGCCTGTTTTTTTTTTCATATTTGGGATCGTCCATCGGTTTTCCTCAAGTTAACACATACAGTGATGATAGTATTGAATTAATTTTATTTCGTGCCCTGGCTCTGTTAGTGTTTATTCGCCGCCGTCCAGGAGTGTACTAATGACATACATCGTCTGTACACGCAGGTGCATGATTTTTGGCGATCATTGGTGAACGGCGAAGTAGCCGATGCCACCAACATTTGCACGTGAGTATTATTATTGCCTGTAATCGTTCTCTTCCATCTTACCAATATAGTCAATTTGTAATTTATAATATACTTAATATATAATATATCAGAGGGAGACTTTGTACAAAAGTCGATTGCTTGGGTGCTCTGTTCAATTCGTGTTTTTACCGTGAAGCAGTTGTGTTTGCATGGCGGTTTTTGGTTTGAAGGATGGGATATGGCGTGAATTTACAGGGTACAGAGGAATAAAACCTGAGTCCTCAGGAATGGTACAGAATGGGAGGTATCATGGGCAAAACAGTATATTCTGTTATGTCCATACTGCTCATATCTATAGGCGACGGTTACTACTTTCCATCAGGTGGGTCGTCAGCTTGTTTGCCATTCTAAGTTGTGTAAGAGAAAAAAAAACGATACGTGTACACGGGAAATAGAAGGCAGATAGACAACGTTTTAGATTTTTTTATTTGTTTTGTAAATTAGTAATATATATACGAAGTAAACAACTTACTTGCTTACTTGTCGATCGTAGCTGGGAGCTCGATTTTCATAAAAACATATTAGATGTCATATTATGGCTGTTATTCTATCAGTTGTAAGTTGATTTGAGTTTTTTTTTACTTGAAAGAATACGCTTACAGGGTGGTCCCGGAGAAGTTTTATCAAAGTCGGGCGAGTAGTTTAGTATGTAAATCGAAGTAACATGTTTTGCCACAATTGAAGTTAGATATTTTTGGATAAATTAGTTATTACCGCTCAGCCGGTAATAATTGCAATTGAACTGAGAAGAATGCGCAAGCCGGTTCGCCGGGTGTGGTGTGGTGTGGTGTGGTGTGGTGTATGTCGATGCAGCGTGTGCGTGTGCGTGTGCGTGTGTAACGGAAGGGTTGTCGTGCGCAGGAGCAACGTGTCGGTGGCGGGCAGCGCGGCGCGGCTGGAGCGCGCGCGCGCCGCCGCGCTGCTCGCCGCCGCGCCGCCCGCCGCGCCGCCCGCGCCCCGCCCGCCGCAAGGTACGCACACATCGCACACACTGCATCGCAACAACAACGTTTACAGCTATTTTGTCATTGGACAATACAAACATGATAAAGTGCTATAGGGCAAAGCGCCGCCTTCGACGCGCCGTTATATAGGCACGCGCCGCCGGCCGGGCCGGTACCGCCGCCCCGCTGTGTCCCTGCATTTTAAATCTGTAATATCTTCTAAAATATTTATTTAAATAACATGATGTAAAGGACCATATTAATCTATAATAAATGGACAATGTACGTAGGGTACTTAATTTAATAAAAATTAATGCTGTATTGCTTAAAATCACTTCGTAATTAAGCCATTTTTTTTCCGTAAAATGTAAAGGATAAGTATGGTTATTGTGGGTTATCCTTAAGAGATAAACTTTCGCGGACTTTTTTATTGACCTTTTATGGTATACAATACTGTAGTACATTATTTTATCTCGTTGGGTTCAACCAGCGTTTGCAATGAAAGCGCAAAAAATATGTTTATTTACTACGTCGCATTAGAAACCTCTAAATTTATAAGTGTTTCTCTACAATGTTATACAAGTATTATACATATAAACCTTCCTCTTGGATCACTCTATCTATTAAAAAAAAGTGCTTCAAAATCTGTTGCGTAGTTTTAAAGATTTAAGTATACATCAGGACGGACAAACAGCGACAGCAACTTTGTTTTATACTATGTAGTGACGATAAAGCAGCCGACACCCGAAGCATATTCCTATTAAAAGAACGTGCAACTTGCGCGATTTTTCTGTGAGAAATCATGACTAACTAGGAGAAAAATGTATAGAAGCAAAAATTCTCACCGTAGCTTCACAGTACATATAAACAAATATTTTGTATATACGCAGGAATCTTCAACTGTTCCTGACAGCGATCTGAATAATCTAGACACCAATACAAACTTGTCGTTCTAAAACATCGTTCAAAAAAGTTACTAGGTCTTTCATAGAAATGAGCATTAAATATTATAACAAAATACCAAAGAATATTTTAAATCTACCTTTTAATAAATTTAAAACTGTTATGAAAAAAAAAACACTTGTTGAACAAAGCTTTTTACACACTAAACTATTACCAAATAAAAAAAAATGTGTATGTGTTAGTAAATCATTTACAGGCTTTTAAAGGAGCATATAATTGTAAACATAATACGTTTAAATAAATATATGAACTATAAAATTATATACACTAACAGAGATTTAAAAGAGTAACTGTTAAGTTTCTTGCAGGCTCTTCCCAACAGATAACAACCTTCCGAACCGTGTAGTAGATAAAAAACTTATTTACGATGCTTTCTAGGGGGTACCAGGTGAAGGTGGATCTGATAGGGGTTTTATAGCCCCATTGCTAACAATCCCTTTCCACCCGATATGTCGGATTAGTATTGTGACCAGTAGAGAACCATCACCTGTAAACACTGAATAAAAACGAAAATTGTGGTTATTGTAAAAAGTACAGTAACAGGTAAGATAAGATGGAAACTCATAATGACAGGGGTCTTTTTTTAAGAGATGATAATGGAATGGTAACTCCGTCTGCACTAGCGGTATACGCTGGCGGGGCACCAGTGAGGAATGATAGATGAGAATGAAAAAAAAAAGGTCAGCGCATCGTGATGAATATACTTGGAATTTAACAGGATGGTTTCCAGGGGGGGGGGGCACGGGGTGGTCGACCTGGAAACATATAAACATAGGGTATATTGCTAGGTCCCTTAGTCCCCATTACTAACAACCCCCCCCCCCCCCCCTAATGACAGGGGTTCATTAGGTTCACAGTATAAGTTTTCCGTACGTACGTAACGCGTTATGTAGGGGCAGGCGGCGTCCGAGACACGACACCAACTAGCTACTAACGAGGTGCGTTTGGTTTCAGTGGACAAGTGCTACTACCTGTCCAACCTGTAGCGCGGCGCCGCCGTGCAGGGCAGCCGCCGGCCGTCACGCCCGTCACGCCCGTCACTTGACGCATGCATCACGAGTACCTATTGTGTACTTTAGATCAATTTGATTATAATTGTTCACGCCACACTTGTGTGTTAGTAATTACGGGATATTATGTCATTATGTGATATTTGTATTTAATTAAAGTTAATACTTAATATTTGAACTTGTTTTCATTTTATAACTAAGTTGGTATCAGTATCATAGACTTAGGATAACGCACTACGTACTAACGAACTGGCAATGCAGTCACAAAAACGAGACTAAAGTGAGATTACACTTGTGTGTGTGAAATGTAAATGCGAGTTCCATGCTCACATTCTATCGTTACTTCAGTATTTAGTTGTAAGTCGTAAATAAAAAACATTCATATCAACAGCAAAAAAATATATTTTTGATTTATTCTTTCGAAATCCAAAATAATTATTTTAAATACTTGAAAAAAAAAAAATTCAATGCAATGTCCCATTCTTAAAACCGAGATACAAATAATATGATGTTGAATTGATGTGAAGTCCGCCAAATGTACGTAGAATTTCACTGTGCAGTTTAAATAAATAATATATCTTTGATTTATTATTTTCAAAGTACAAAAGTTATTATTGTGAAATACTACCTTGACATCTTTAAATTTTTAATGATACATCGTATCGTTTTTTTTTTCTGAACGTGTTTGCTGTTGGCCGTGAGTGGCCTTTACAGCTTCACCGGACGCGAATGCAGGGGCGAGTGCTGATGGCACTCCAAGCCCGCGAGAGGGGAGCGACAGAGGTGTCGACTCTTTCTTATGGACTGCGGTGTGTGCGCCTAAGGGCGCCAGAGTGGTTTGGCCTCGGCTTAGGCCACCGCACTTCGACCCCCGTCAAGGGACGGCGAAGAGTCGGTACGTCTGGGTGGGTGAGATTGCGACGCGGTTGTTATGCGCTCGGGCGCAAACTTACCGGACCGTGTGTCGCGAGGGTTCTTCGCCCCCGCCGGCGGGGGCGGTGTGTGCGGGTGTTTGTAGGGACTCTTGTCAAAGATTCGGCGGTAGGGAGGGAGGGAGACGCGTTTGTTGTCGTAGTTGCATCATCGGGGTACAAGAGAGCGTGCCTCTATGGGGGGGGGGGGGGGGGTTGTATTTAACCGCTCTTACTATGAGCGGATTCGGATGGGACATCGTATCAAATATACTCTTGAGCTTATAGAGACAGGTTAGAAATCTTAATATCGTGTTGTAGTACACAGATACTAATATAACAACTCTATCTAGTCGTCAACGTGAGGAGTATTTCTGTTGTTTCCATGGTTACAGCATTTAACTCAATACAGATTATACACACCTTTAACAAAAATAAATTTATTATAAAACAAAAGCTACACAAATTTATAAATATTGTAGATATAAATAAAAAATAAAGGGTTCTATGCCCGTCACTGGATGAGCCAACTTTGTCCTCCCTACTGGCACTTACCTGGTGTGGTGAGGTAGCAGGCACGGGAGTTTCTGTGGCTTGGCGTGCAGGGAAGGCTGCTGAGCTTCGGAGCAGGTGATGATGCTGTGCCTGCGGTACCTTGTACCCCTAGTGTCGTTCTGGGGGATTTCTTCACCTCTAAAGTTATTCTGGGGGTTTTCTCTATCCCTAAGGTGGTTCTGGGGGTTTTCTCTACCCCTAAGGTTGTTCTGGAGGTTTTCTATAGCCCTAAGGTTGTTTCCTGTAAAGCCCCAAATGGTGGCTTCAGTGAAGATATAATAAATCTTCACCTGACCACGGCATACAAACGAATCGAAAATCGAAAAGCTGCAGGTCAAGCAGGCAGGATTACAATAAATTAATAATAAATAAATGACCTTAGTTCGCCCTGAAGGGTAGAACGAATTAAGACATTAAAAATTATAATGATTTAAAAATTATAAAATAATAATTGTGTCCCTTAAGGAAATACAAATGACTTGTTGGATCCAAATAACGGTTATTGAAATTCAAATTTGGCAAACCAAAATGGAGGCTATGTCTCGAGAACTAGGTTATAATTTACTAACTATGATAAACACTAGATATGCTCGATGATCATCGATGTTTGATGATCATCGATGTTGAAAGGAAAAATATCGATGTTGTTATATGAAAAATATCGTAACGTCGATGTTAACGGAATTGATAATCGATCATCGATGTTACTCATGGCCTCACGCACAACCAGTACAATATACGAAACAAATTACGTATATTATCGTTTGTTGGTAAAAAAATAAGTTGTGCGGTTGTGCGTGCGTCGGACTACTTGAGTACTTACTACTCGTATCAACATTATCCGAAAGACTGTTATCAAAAGCCGGCTCTAATCTTTATCAACAAAGAAATAGATTAAATTCTTTATCAAAATTATTTTTCCTTCAGTTAGTTCAGAAAAAGTATTGGAATATACAATAATTTGTTTTGTTTCTTAATAAATTTCGAGTAATTTTACTGTATTTTATTGTGTTGTTAATTATCAGTGCTAAAATTATTGATGTTACCTAAAATCGATGTTCGGTTTGTGATTAATACCGAACATCGATGTTTTTTAAATATCGATCATCCCTAATAAATACAATGAAATGAAAACATTCTCGAGGCGTTAGCCTTTTTAAAACTGAAAATAAAAATTACATAACACAATGCTTTTAAAATATAAATTTAATTACTGTGTTGGCAAATAGACAATTTAAAAACCAAAATAGCACCGAATTACAAGAATCATAGGTTATAAAAATTATTTAAATTGAAATTACTTTATAAGACAATATTTATAATCAATCTGAAGGTCTGTATACCGGTTTTTATTATAAAAATTTAGCAAGAAAGGATGCACGTCTTCATTAGACAGATAGCGGATCCAAATGAACGATCGGGTTTCTCTTTCAAAGCTATGCTAAGCTATTACATCACTTCAGGGTTAACGGACTGCTTCACAGTCAGCAATATGGTTTCACCGCCGGCAAGTCTACCACTGACGCAGGTGTTGCGCTAATGACACATATTTTCGAATCTTGGGAGAGGTCACAGGATGCACTCGGAGTTTTTTGTGACCTATCAAAGGCATTTGATTGTGTGGATCATAAAACGCTTTTGTACAAGCTCGAACATTATGGTATAAGCCCAGAGATAATGATCTAAAATTAATGAGAACTTATTTAGAGGATAGGGTTCAAACTGTAGATATTGACGGTGTAAAATCTAAGGGAGCTAATATTAAGATGGGCGTTCCACAAGGGTCAATCTTAGGCCCCTTTCTCTTTTTAATCTACATAAATGACCTTCCCTTTATGGTAGAGAAAATTGCAGATATAGTGCTGTTTGCGGATGATACTTCGTTAGTGTTTAAAATTGGACGTCAAAGTAATCAATTAGACGATGTAAATTGTGCTATGTCTGCAATATTAAATTGGTTTACATGTAATAACCTATTATTAAATTCCAGCAAAACAAAGTGTATAAAATTTACACTTCCTAATGTAAGACTAATAAATACACAGTTATTGCTTAATGACGAAATAGTAAATTTTGTTAATGATACAGTTTTTTTAGGTATAACAGTGGACTCGAAATTACAATGGGGGCCCCATATTTCAAAATTGGCCAGTAGACTCAGTTCTGCTGCATATGCAATTAGAAGAATTAGGCAATTAACAGACGTGGCGACGGCTAAACTTGTATATTTTAGTTATTTCCATAGCATAATGTCTTATGGCATACTGCTGTGGGGTAAAGCAGCCGATATAAATACTATATTTGTTTTACAAAAGAGAGCCATACGTTCTATTTATGGTATGGGTTCAAGAGAGTCATTACGTCAGTGCTTTAAAGACTCAAATATCCTCACAGTTACTTCACAATACATTTATGAAAATATTATGTATACACGGGAAGAACTTAGCGAGTTTTAAAAAACTCAAAGACTGTACAAGTAGAAACTTACGCAATATAAATAAGCTTATTTTACCTAAATGCCGTCTGCACAAAATCAGTAATTCATTCTATGGTAATTGCATAAGATTTTATAATAAACTGCCGGAATCTGCATTAAATCTGACAGAGAGGCAATTCAAATCTTATATTAAACAATTTTTATGTAAGAAAGCCTATTACAGGATAGACGAATTCATAGATGACAACATATCAAGTAAATAATTAGTTTATTAGCATACAACGTTATAATTTTATTTTCTCATTGCTTTCTTGATTTAATTGATTAATTTTAGAAATATGAAAGCGTAGCGGTTTTTTGTATTAATTGCCGCATGCATTCTTATGTAAAATGTGAATACTATAACTATCAGATGGCAATTGTGAGTAGCTTTGACGTGGTCTAGTGTTTTGAGTAGTCATGCTCACTAAAATGTCCAAACTTGTGGCGGCGTGGTGGGCCGGGTCATTGGGCTCCCTAAAATATGGTCGAGCGCAGTGATGGCTGGCTCATCCGTCATACTCGTGAACGGGTGCTGCTTGTAGGGACTGGTCTGCTCTAATCACTATGACTGATTTCCTCTTATTAATTGTTTAACCAGTTGGTTATGTATTCAATTTTTTTTTTCTTTTTGAGTATTTAATTGAATTAGTGCTAATTGGTGGTTTGTATTCACACAATATAACTTAAAAATGTAAAATAATAATAAAATTATTTAAAAGAGCATCACGCAAGTTTCTTGCTCGTTCTTCTTGTGATGAGACAGCTTTCCGAACGAGCGGTAAATTAAAAAAAATGTAATGACTTTTCAAAAGTGCTTGAATGTAAGTTTATTTGAATAAATGATTTTCTATTCTATTCTATTCTATGAAGAAAGTCAATTTAAAATCCATTCGTTACCATCTATTTGTACTCAATTAGTGCGGTTAGTAATATAACAAACAGATAATTTCTGCTCATCTCTTATGAATAGGCGTTACATTTAATTGTAACGTTATATATATGTTACAGTTATTTTTCATAATTCATAGCATACAGAAATAGCGTAGCATATAAAATTTTTATTCTTTATTCTTTATTGTACACAAAACATACTGGTAATTACAATTCATTATAAACATAATGTACAAAGGCGAGCTTATCTCTAATAAGAGATTTCTTCCAGCAAAACCTTTCCATGTTAATGTGTTATTTTATAAATAAAAATAGGCAGTCATACGATCTGCATAT